CAACAGGCTGCCCTCCACCAATGCTTACTTGTATGCAGTCCAACAATCAAGACAAGGAGTCGCAACCAAGAGGGTCGACGGGTCGTATATCAGGAAGGGTATGAGGCAAGCTTCTTACAGAAGGTAAGAACCAGTGTTGAGGAGAGAAAGTCTCCTCCCATCAAGCTTTTTACACATCACAAAAGCTATCAAGTACGGGTGATGTCAGGGTACGCCATTCCTATGTATATGAATAGGTCAGAATTCTATACAGATACATGAGGAGAAGCGAGCAAAGATATCACACGGAAGACAGAGACGGATAGCGATGAAAGAGAACAACAGAAACAGAACAGATCTAGGAAGAGGGAGAGGCTTGAGTGTCAAAGTGTAAAGGACCTAAATACCAAGTAAGATCAATGAACCGGATGAGCAGCAAAAGCCATTGCATCACAATTCCAACCCTGGAATCATAATGCATTGTTGGTATTTGGACTTGTTAACTCGCGCCCCAGGACCTGACCACTGTATCCTTACACAAAGGTGTTGTGGAACTTGGAGATGATCCCGCAACTGAGGAGTAATTACATGGTTAATAGTGGCAGTAATTACACCAGTAACTATGTAGTGCCAGGGTTGGTACCTGCAATGTGCAAGTGCCAGGTTTGAGGGTCAACCCAACCAGGCTATAAGTCAATGGTGTTCAACCTGCTTAACCCAGAGCTATGTTACATGCACATACATACACAGCAACACGGGAGCAAATCGACTATATCTCAATAGGTGTTTGGCAAGTGGAGGCAAGGTGGAGGTTGACTTGCCAAAGCCGAATTGAGAAGCTGAAGTCCCAGAGCAGGTGAGGGGTCTCAATAGTGAAGGAGAGGGTTCAGTAGCAAAGAGGAAAAGTTTTGTTAAAGACTACAACTAGTCCTTGACAATTCTGATGGGTGCCTTTGTTACGACTGAATCCCGCAAGTAGCTGACACATCACTCAGGGACAATGGGATGAGGTCAGGCCAGAGGCCAGACAGAGATGGATGATCGGGATGGACTCTTTGACAGTAATGCCTGTGAGTACTGTGGTTGTTGGAGTATGGGTGTGTGTCAAAGGGGTGTGGCTACTTGGATCTGCTACTAAAGGAGCGGAGAGTAGAGTAGAGTTTGTAGAGTGTTGTAATGAAATTAACATTGATAAAAAACTACAAGAGGGCTACGAAGGGGTCCTTTTATATCTTTTCCATCCATCGATGTTTTCCAATCCTTCCCTGGCTTTATTCTGCTTGCTGATACAGCCTCCACTGGCCTATTTGGGTGAGTGGAGCTGATTCCAAATGACTATCTCAAATAAAGTGGTATTTGTACTGTAAAATAATAAAGTATCTTGTTTTGTGAATAAATGTCCCGGTGTTTGATCTATGATATGATAAAAGCGGCTCAGTATATGATAAAGGCAGCTATATATACAATAAATGCCCTAGTATGTGATAAAGTGGCACAGTGCTGCAATAAGGTGTTTCATGAAGCATGCCAAATGGCATGTTGAATGATGCCGAGGTTGTGCCATGAGTGTTGAGCCGCAGGGCGGCCATCTCCGCTTGCCTTGCTGTTACATAACAGACTACTTGACAGGCAAAGGTGGGCTAGATTGTAACAGCTTCCCTTATAGCCTGTTCAGCAATGCAACAAGTCCTGACAAATTTTCCAAGCCAAACCCAACAAATACCGACAACTTTCAGCTTGAGAATTTGTAATGATTTGTAGTGGTTGCCTGGTTACTGAACGCTCAACAATTTTTGCAGGTTCCAATGCATGTGGTGAGCACTTGCTGGGAGTATTCTCGAGGTTGAGCCAGGATTTGTAGGACTTGTTGCTCCAAATTGGACTGACAACTTTTGAGAAAGTTGTTGGAAAAAGTTGCCCCTTTGGGAAAGTCAGTGTCGGGCTGTTTCAGATCTTTTTTAGTATTTGTTGCATTGCTGAATGCTATACAACTTTTCAAACTTGTAGCCTGACAACTTTTTGGTACACAGATCTGGAAGTTGTCAAAATTTGTCAGGACTTGCCGTGTTGCAGAAAAGGCTGTTATACACAGTCCTTATCGTGTCCCTACCCCGTCCCTACCCCATCACAAAAGTGGCAACACTGCTGGGTAAGCACACAGGAGAATGTGATAAAATACTATGGCTAAACTGAATAAGCAGAAGGGTCATATGGCCAAGTGTCCATATGTAGTCTGAAGAAGGATTTCGTTGAATGACCAGCCAAGTACTGATGTGGTGATCAGACCTGCTCTGGGGTGAGAGCTGTAGTTATCACCTAGCGTTGTTGTAGTCTGAGTCCAAGTACATGAAGGGGAGTACGCAGTTGTGCTTGGATGAGGTCTCAGAATGAGTAGTAAAGGCTAGAGGAGAAGAGGAAGGGAGAAAAGAGAGTCAAGAGAGTTTTGAAGTCTCGATCCCAGTGTTCAGCCTTTCTTATATACTGTACATGAATGAGTGATGAGACAATAGACGGAGTGACTGCATGATATGACTACGGCACAACGTGAATGAGGGTACAAGTTGACCGGCAAAGTGTACAAAAAGGCTCAAGACAATAAGAAAGACAAGATGAGTGGAAGAAGGTAAGGGTAGTGAATATGGGTGTGTTAATATATGTTGGACAGCCTTACTAGAAGATAGGAAGAGGAGAAGAATGATTAACAATAAACGAAGGACAGAGGACAGATGCGAAGATGCGAAGATGGGGGCAAGAGCTAAGAACAGAGTCCACGCACTGTGCAGGAGGTGGCTAGCATGCTACAACTGAGTTGGCGCAGAGGACGCAGGCAGCGGTCTCTGTTGTTTAACTGGTGTTACGTAGTTGGTCTGACATTAAGAGGACCGACTGAATTTTGCCACAGCAGCAAATATAAGAAGGGCACGAAAGTCTCATTTTTGATTTTCTCCTCAAAATCATTATTCTTGATTCATAGGTTACTTCATTTGGCTCAACCAATCCACCCTTCCGTCCCAACTGACAATGCCATCCACCTCTCTCACTCACCTCCCAACAAGCCTGCTCACAATGGATCTCTTGCCATCACAGCTTTTCTCAACTAACAGATTCACAGCATGCCCCTCTCTGACACCTGTCCTGTACATAGACTAGTATGTTTCAAATATCAAAAAATCACTGCAAATGATTTTTCGTCTCAGACAATATTTGCTTCCGTTGAGGGGAGTCTTTGGCTGGGGATTTTTATCTCAAACAATTTGAATTTGAAACCATTTTTTGTGAGATGCAGGATCAAAATATGTTTTTTGAAACGATGTTTTTGTGTCCCTGCTGGCGTCCTCATCCTTGTTTCTACTCACTCACCTTTCACTTGCCATGTATCTTTGACCACCCACACAACTTGTCCCCTCAGCAGCACGCTCCCTCCCCTCCCATCTTACCAACAGTCCCACACCATCCTCATGTCGGATATAGGTCAGAGGAGAGCGGAGGCTGAGACGATCGTGAACATCCTGCTGGTTGTGGCTAGCTTGCTGCTCCGCTATCTCCTTACGCCCCTTGATATTGGCCGTGGAATGGTCCTTAAAAAGACCTTGAAGTTGCTCGTTCATGTTGGCGTTGCCGCGCCTGCCCTTGCCAGAGGTTGGGGTGTCTTGGGCATTGAGGGACGCCCGTGCCCTTGATCCGTTGGAGAGAGAGCCGGCACCCCTCGCCCCAGAAGTCGGCTCGTCAGCAACCCCGTGATTATTGCTGGTAATGTCGGTAGACAGAGAATTGGCTCTGGTCCCCCTGACGCTGAAGATGTCGTCATTCTCGTCGGCCTCATCCTCCATTCCAACGGATTGGTCCTCGATGTCGGAGCGCGAAGACACACGGCGGGCCATAGAGGGGGTGATTGAGACTTCTCTGTCGCCCATCTGATGCACACTGCTTTGCGCAGTGATATTGGCGTTTCGGTCTTTCAACGAAGGGAGGAGGGTGAAGAAGAACGGGCATTTCTCTTTGATTTTGGCTATAGACAGAGTCAGCACCTGACTACTATATTGGTTGCGGCACCTACCCTCCCACGTTTCAATGCCTCTAGCCAGGTCATCCTCCGTGACCCCTTCTCCAGTGGGCTTTTGGATGGCCAACGCTTCATCGAATGCCTTCTTCATTTTTTGAATCTGTAGATGCAGATCAGCGTCATGCCACATCTTGGCTGGTCTCAACTCACCCGATCCTGGACCCCAGAGGCCTTAGCCTTGTCGAAATTCTTGATCTGTTTCTCGAGGAGCCATTTGTAGATCACCGTAGCGGCGAACTTGGCTCTATCGTTGGAGTCCGAGTAGGCAGCCCAGTTCTCGGGCACGGACATCCAGTCAATGAGGTGATCTTCACCAGTACGCCCATCCAGTCCAACACAAATGGTGGAGTTCTTCTTGTTGTGTTTCCACCTCCAGCCGGATGCATCATCACCGTCTGTCTTCTTGTTCGATCTTTTGGCTGTGGCGGGGGTGGAAGGAGGAGCAGGCATGGCGATAGGAGCAAACGGAGTTATGGGGCTTCTGGATGTAGATTTGACGAAACTACGGATGAAGTGCAAAAGCACGCGTACGCGTGGGGGCAATGACAGAAAGGGTGACCACGTGGTAGACATGTGGTATGCACGTGGTATGCATGTGGTGTTCCTGGCAAAAACCATCTCAGGTGATTTTTCAAAAATCACTTTGGCCTGAAAACCCGCAAACTGTTTTTTTCGTCCGCGACGTTTTTGCTCCAGCCAAAAACGCCTGACGGAAGCAAATATTGTCCGAGGTGAAAAATCACCCGCGGTGATTTTTTGATATTTGAAACATACTACTATTGTTGGTATTTGGACTTGTTAACTCGCGCCCCGGGACCTGACCACTGGATTTTAGGTCCTTTACAACGCCACCCCTTCATTCAGCTATATGGGCCCATCCGCTTTGCCCAAGCATTCTCCCCCCAGCGGCTGATATCCTTGATCCCCTACAAGGGCTGCCTCCACCCTCCACCCTCCATCCTCAAGTAGACCTCCCTCTTGTTGCTGAGATGTTGGCCCTTCCTCTGCTTTGCCTCATACTCCTGCTTTTTTGCCCTGTCTTGGGAGCAGCAACTCCCAGAGTCGAGGTGAGCCATGACAAGAGAACACTTGTTTGCTTTCCTCTTCTCCCTAACTTCAGCAGCAGCTGTCTTCTCATCCAAAGTCTTCCTAGCCATCATCCCAAGCTCTGACTGTATGTAGCTAGCCTTGGAAAAAGGCGGGTAGTATTTGGCTTTTCTGGTAGGCGAAAGGGGTGGTTTGGGAGTGATCTTTCACCACATCCTCTTGAGCTCTCCTTCAGTTTTTGGTGTGGGCGGAATAAAGCCAGGGGAGGATTGTCACACGTAGTAATTCCCTGAAGTGGCATGAGCGCGGAGTTGTGTGATTGGTCGAAGGACTCGCAGCGTACATAGTCAATTCTTATCCTACTGTCCTACTCTTTCTCTATGCGATAATACCGAAAAGGTCTTTTCCCCTCCAAAAACACCTTTTCCAGTCCTCTCCCCTGCTGCGTCCCAGCAGGCCGTGACAAAGTTATCGCATATCAGAACCGCCTATGGCGGCCTCTTTTCCTTTGACCCCGGGGAACTCCC